GCCTTAAATTTGTACTGAAGTACTAGCTTATGTGCTTACATTCTAACACTGCTTACCTGGCTCATTCATCAAGTCTTTTAGATTAGCAAGGGTCATGTTGAGGACAGGTTGGATAGAGGAAATGTTCATATCTTCCTTTTGGAAAGTGAGGTTCATGCGGTTCACCACAGCCAAGACATCGTTGGCAAGTGGGTCAATGCAGGGAACGTGTACGTCAGGATGCATTTTCTTAAACCTTTCTCTACCGGGCAGTTTTTTGTAGCTTCCTCCTCCTCCAACTCCAGCACCTTAACTGCCCTCTCCAGGGACAACCTGCAAATTGCCGATGGTTGCTTTAGGCTCAGCAGATAATTTTCCTCCATTTCATTTTGGAGTTTGTATAGTCTGTGTGTTTGGATGGGAGAATTCTTGTAGTAGGTGTAGATGTTATTGATAGTGGTCACATACCGTAAAATCCGGTGTATAAGACGCACTTTTAATACCTATTTTTTCATCTTAAAAGTTGGCTGCGTCTTACACACCAGTATAAAATACTGAAACACGCGCCGTCATTACCGCAGGTGCAGCTGCCACTACTGCGACCTGGTGCGATCAAAAACCCTTCCCCATTCATTGTGTATTGAAAGCTGGTTGCACGCTGTGCTGGAAAAGACGGCGACACAGACCAGGTGGCTGCGTGACTTTTTTTCACATCTTTCTTCCTCACAAGGTCATAATCATGCATTTACATAAACAGTGGTATATTGTTCCAGTAAATAGACCTTGTGGAGTTCTCTTTTGATTGAAAGACTCCTATATTAAAGTTAAAGAGTGACCAGAGGAGTCGGGCAGCGCGACTTGCAAGCTAGGAGTCTGTGCCTCTGCCTCACAACTTTCCCTGCAGGCTGAGAGCTCAACTACCGTACTGTAGCTAGTAGGAGCGCAAACTCCCGAAGGTGAAAAAGACGGGACTTTAAGAGCGACACAGCTGTACAGAAAATGCACGTTGTAGAATCGCTGAACACAATATAAGTCGTCACGCAGGAAAACAGTTTAAAGTTTTTATTTCTCTCAAAGAGACCTTAAAAACAGGGTGCGTCTTATATACCGGTCTGACTTATATTCTGGATTTTACGGTAAAGTACTGATTTGACGCACTACCCTGGAGCATGGCGGGCAGCCAGTGCAGTTCGGTGTGCACCACAGTGAATATTTACGAGGTAGGGACTGTCATTCTGACACAGTTGTTGTGCAACATGCTTTTCAATTGCAGCACTCTGGCTAACCACCCTGGAAGCCATAATGTGGCTTCGGCTGGTTTTGTGATCATTCAGAGCAGATTTCTTCATAGTTTTGCACCGTCTGGTAAATCTGTTACTCATGTTAGCTTTTCTGAAGACGTCACAGAACATTTTGTCATCTTCGCTCTGAAGCCACGGGAATTCTTGCTCCCATTGAACACGGTAATCCCTCCTTGCTCCCACATTGCTGCAACTTGCTTGTCCCGTAGCTTTAGCTGCTACCTGCTGATTATCTTCATCAGTTGTAGGTGCTTATTCTTCAGCCTCCTCCACCCCATCAGTCCCTCTTTTTTCACCACGTCTACCATCATCACCAGCAAAATCACTTTTTCAAAGAACTCAGTACACTGTTGTTTCAACATTTTGTGACCATCATGCAGATAGCTTAACCATGCTATGAAAACAACCATAGACAACGAAGTCATGCAAGTGAGGTCAGCCTACAGGACAAGACAATAACTAATTAATTATGCACACTCGCCACCAACTGGACTGGGAGGTCTACTGCAGGTGCTTTACATGTGGTTAATGACAGAGTTGTGTGAGAATTAGAAAGGATGGACACCCAGTGATTCTAATCAGTCAAAACCTTCAGATTTTTTTTTCATTGTTAAAAAAATTCTGTCAAAGACGGAGAATATTCGGTTAACGCGACCTCTAGTCTGTCTGTACCTCAGTGTCTCCAGTCTGCAGTGTGGATCCTCCAGTCCAGCAGCCAGCAGCTTCTCTCCTCGTTCTCCTGGATGATTGTAGCTCAGGTCCAGCTCTCTCAGGTGGGAGGAGCTTAGAGCTGAGGCCAGAGACGCACAACCTTCTTCTGTGATCAGACAACCTGACAGACTACACACACACACACCACACCACACACACACACACACACACACACACACACACACACACACACACACACACACACACACACACACACACACACACACACACACACACACACACACACACACACAGCACACACACACACAGAACGAGCTCAGAGCTTTACAGTTTTAATGTGTAACATACAGTAACTAAAACTTTAAACCACTCATTAAAGGAACATTTATAAATGATTCATCAAGAAAATGATCTTAGAGGAATAATCTGGATCAGCTGCACACTAACCTGAGAGTGTCCAGTCTACAGAGAGGACTCTTTAATCCAGAGGACAGCAGCTTCACTCCTGAATCCTGCAGGTTGTTGTTGCTCAGGTCCAGCTCTCTCAGACTAGAGGACTGGGAGCTGAGGACTGAGGACAGAGCTTCACAGCTTCTCTCTGAGAGGTTACAGACACTCAGCCTGAAGAGGATTCAGAAGAACACAAATGAAAGCAATTAGAAACAATAGTTGTTATTTCTGAATAAAGAGAACTACATTAAACCTGGATAGTTATGTGGACACATACAGAGCTTTGTTTGAAGCTTGATCACAGGCAGCAGCCTCAGAAGAGCCTCCTCTGAAGCAGAGTATTTCTTCAGGTCAAACACGTCCAGATCTTTTTCTGATGACAGTAAGATGAAGACCAGAGCTGACCACTGAGCAGGAGACAGTTTATCTGTGGAGAGACGTCCTGATCTCAGGGACTGTTGGATCTCCTCCACTAGAGAACGATCATTCAGTTCATTCAGACAGTGGAACAGATTGATGCTTTTCTCTGCAGACAGATCCTCACTGATCTTCTTCTTGATGTACTCTGACTGTTTTCTGATTGGTCTGTGAGCCACTTCCTGTGGGTGTCAACAAACCTCGTAGCTGATTCTGATTGGTCTCTAGAGAAAGACCGAGGAGAAAGCGGAGGAACAAGTCCAGGTGTCCATTTGGACTCTGTAAGGCCTGGTCCACAGCACTCTGATATAAAAGTGTTGGGTCAGGTTTTTCTCTGATACTTCAGACCTGGATGTTGTTTGTTCTTCTGACATCAGATTGACTCCAGAGTTGATGAAGGTCAGATGGACATGAAGAGCAGCCAGAAACTCCTGAACACTCAGATGGATGAAGCAGAACACCTTGTCCTGGTACAGTCCTCTCTCCTCTTTAAAGATCTGTGTGAACACTCCTGAGTACACTGAGGCTGCTCTGATATCGATGCCACACTCTGTCAGGTCTGAGTCATAGAAGATCAGGTTTCCTTTCTGCAGCTGCTCAAAAGCCAGTTTTCCCAGAGACTCAATCATCTTCCTGCTCTCTGGACTCCAGTGTGGATCTGTCTCAGCTCCTCCATCATACTTGATGTTCTTCAGTTTGGACTGAACCACCAGGAAGTGGATGTACATCTCAGTCAGGGTCTTGGGCAGCTCTCCTCCTCTCTGGTCTTCAGCACATCCTCCAGAACTGTAGCAGTGATCCAGCAGAAGACTGGGATGTGGCACATGATGTGGAGGCTTCTGGATGTCTTGATGTGGGAGATGATTCTGTTGGCCTGCTCCTTATCTCTGAACCTCTTCCTGAAGTACTCTCCTTCTGTGGGTCAGTGAACCCTCTGACCTCTGTCACCATGTCAACACACTCAGGAGGGATCTGATTGGCTGCTGCAGGTCGTGTGGTTATCCAGAGGTGAGCAGAGGGAAGCAGTTTCCCCCTGATGAGGTTTGTCAGCAGCACATCCACTGACTCTCTGGACTCTGTGACATCAGTCAGGGTCTGGTTGTTTTTAAAGTCCAGAGGAAGTCGACACTCATCCAGACCGTCAAAGATGAACACAACCTGGAACTCTTCAAACCTGCAGATTCCTGCTTCTTTGGTTTCAGGAAAGAAGTGATGAACAAGTTCCACCAAGCTGAACTTTTTCTCTTTCAGCACATTCAGCTCTCTGAAAGTGAATGGAAATGTGAACTGTATGTCCTGGTTGGCTTTGTCTTCAGCCCAGTCCAGAGTGAACTTCTGTGTTAAGACTGTTTTCCCGATGCCAGCCACTCCCTTTGTCATCACTGTTCTGATTGGTTCATCTCTTCCAGGTGAGGCTTTAAAGATGTCTTCTTGTCTGATGGTTGTTTCTGGTCTGTGTGGTTTCCTGGATGCTGTTTCAATCTGTCTGACCTCGTGTTCATCATTGACCTCTCCAGTCCCTCCCTCTGTGATGTAGAGCTCTGTGTAGATCTGGTTCAGAAGGGTTGGGTTTCCTGCTTTAGCAATCCCCTCAAACACACACTGGAACTTCTCCTTCAGGTTAGATTTGAGTTTACATTGCACTGCACCAAACGTTCCTGAATAAAGAAAGAACTGAAATCAATGAACAGATCCTGATATAGATCACATGACTATCTGAGTTTGGAACTTTAAACCGTTTTGTCCTTTTTCTAAAATGCTAAATCTGTTAAAATGTTCTTACTGCTCTGCAGACAGTCAGCCAGCTCCTCCTGCTTCATTCTCCTCAGGAAGTGGAGAGTGATCTTCAAAAATCCTCTTTACAGCTTCTCCCCTGCTCTTCATCCTCACTCTGACTCTCTAAGCATTCTGGGTAATCTGGACTCAGAACTCTCTGGACTCTCTTCAGCTCGTTCTTCACAAAGGTGACGATGTTCTCCTCCAGCAGCTGGAACAGAAGGAGACACTGGATATTTAATATAAACTGGTAGAACTCAACATGTGGTTCATCTGTCTGAAGGTCAGCTGGTCTAAACAGAACAATAACTTAGCATTAAATTATTGTAATGATAGTAAATTATATAACAGTGTGTTGAACAGACCATAAAGATGGAGTCCAGGTCTGTTGGATTCTGCTGGTCTGATTGATCTCTGTGAACCTCTGAGCTCTCCTGTTGAACTCTGTGACACCAGAAAACAATGTGTCATATATTATGAAGCTCTGAACCAAGATATGAGTCTTTAAACAACAGAGTCAGAACGTTAACTTCATTTTAAGATCTCACCTTCCATCAGCAGGACGTCCATCTTTAAATTCAATATATAAACCTTTAGACCAGTCACTCTTCATGGACACACAGCTGGGTCCAGGAGGAGTCTGGTCTCTGTCTCTTCATCCTGATACAAACAAACAGCTGGTATTATTATTATTGTTATTAAAAGATGTGCCAGATTTTGAACACAAAACTTAACTAAACAGGTAATCCAGGCTTTAATATTGTCCAATCTTGACTATTGCCCAGCAGTATGGTCTAATTGGTTCAAAACAGAGCAGCTAGTGTAGCGCTCCGTTGTGAATACAGAATGAATGTTGTTACGATGCATAATTGTCTAGCTTGGTCATTTGTTAAGAACAGATTCGTTTATTCATTACTTGTATTCTTCAGAAATATTTCAGTGATAAAGAACCTCGCTCCTCTGTACCTCTCTGAACTCCTGCACATCAACACACCCACCCGCACTCTCAGGTCTTCTTCTTCTATTCACCTCACTGCACCACCCGCCTGTCCACCAGGGGGTCCAGAGCCTTCAGCTGCTCTGCCCCTCCCCCGCCTCTGGAACTCCCTCCCACCACACATCCGTAGTATTGACACTCTCTCCATTTTTAAATCTCATCTCTAAACACATCTTTTTAAACTGACAAATTCAGTCTGATCATTCCCCTTCCAGTCTCATAAATCCTCTACGTCCTGTAAATACTTTTTAATGTTGATTTTATCGATGTATTGTTACTTTGTTGTTTTTATCTCTACTTTGTAAAACTTTAAATAAAATGTATTGAGATGTAGAATCATCTTTCAGTGGATCGACTTTTAAAATAGACAAATAAATCTAGCTAATTATTTTGGCAGGTTTATTTTTCTTGAATCAAGACAATTTGACTTTATCTAAGAATATTTAACTTCTTTGCAGGAGGGTTTTTTTGCGAGAGGTGAACATGGACTGAAGACAGGAAGTGAGAGTGATGTAAATGTCTGAGGATGAAAGAGTTGTAGAAAAGCAGAACAGAGCTCTTTGTCTGTGCTGCCTCTGACAAAGAGCTGCTAAACTGCCTTTCACTGTTTTTATAGCAATGACATTAAAGATCTATTCTTTTATTTTCTGTTGTAATGATCCGAGGGATAATTAGAAAAAATATGACCTCTGCTCATCAAGCTCCATCTTTGAAATCAGCTGCTACTCTGTAAACTGGATTTCTATTTAAAGAAACACAAACTCAGTGATATGGTTTATCATGATGAGTCTGATCACTCAACTCTCTGACTGGTGAACACTGTGATGTCACTGCTGAAACAATAAACTGATGAGTCCTACAACACATCATGAAGCTCTGAGACAAGATATGAGTCTTTAAACAACAGAGTCAGAACATTAACTTCACTTTCACATCTCACCTTCCATCAGCAGGACGTCCATCTTTAAAGTCAATATATAAACTTTAGAGTCACTCTTCATGGACACACAGCTGGGTCCAGGAGAGTCTGGTCTCTGTCTCTTCATCCTGATACAAACAAACAGCTGGTTAATGAAAGCTTTTAGAACAAAGATCATTTTTAATCAGATTGTTCCAGTTCAAACTAGCAGATGGATAATCAGTGATCAGGAGGCAGAGCTGAAGTTCTCCACAGTTCTCTCTGTTTCTATTAGAACAGTATCTCACTCAGAATACAGACAACACTGTGTCTGTCCTCAGATTCTTTAGACTGATGGAATCAAAGTTAACAGAAGAAGACTCAAACATAAACACAGCTCAGAAAGATGACACCAGGAACATAAAGGTTAGAAGTCCAACCTGCATTTTCAGAGAGAAAGAACTCAGGCTAGCTACAGACAAGATGTTCATGAAGAATACCAGTGACCACCAGGGGGGCAGAAGGACAACCTGAGAGAGTGATCTGTAGGAACAGGAGACTGGCTGGACCTCTGAAAGAGAACCATGA